CCTGGAAAGCGTAGGGAACAAGTAATTGAACTGACAACTTGAGATATTAAACGATTCAAATTAGTAAATGTGGGTTTTTCAACTTCAAGTGTTTTGCTGTCAATTAAAACAATTTTTTTAAGAAAAAGAAATATAAAGTATATGTAGTTTGTTGAAGGGAATAGTTACTTGGTATAAATAAAATATCAATGCATAAATTGGTTATATCGAAGGTGAGTTTAGCTGAAACCCTAAGCGGTACTATTTAAACGTAAATTAACACAATAAGGGAAATAGTCTTTTATTTCTTTGTCATGAGCTGACACTGTTTAGAGAATCATTGGAAAACCTGCAGGCAATACTGGACAGCTGTTTCGTCCTACTTTGAGTCTCTTCATCTGTTCGAACGCAGGACATTTCGATAACAAAGCGAGCTAGCTCATAGACCACTAAGCCACTGAGACCCGACCCTATCCAGTGGCTAGCCTATGAATTTAAACTTATGCCAATTCATGACATAGCGTGGCCACTTCGCAATGTCTTCTTTGATGAACGACCGCCCTCATCTTTGACGTTCTGTACCCTATTTATGTCGTAAATATGTACATATATAATATTGAATTTACTATTTAGAGTAATGAGAAATATTCATGTTAGTGAAATGAAGGAATTATATTCTGAAGTGTGTGTCTGAGGTTATCCAAATAGAATGACACAAAGAGAAATATGACTTCTTAGGATGATTCTTCTGAGGTTTTTTGAAGAAAACAATTTTAAAAGAATAAACAAACATGTTTAAGCTTTCCCATAACGTTTCTTTATCATATAAAGGATTATAATGAACATAATTCTATATATTAGACAAGTTTATTTTAAGCATTACACAGTGATATAGTATTGAAAACTGGATGACAAAGTTTCAAGCGTAAATTATTGCCTTGTCATAATCATAGCAATTTAGTCAAACAGTTTCACAATTTGTCTTATAGATTCTTTTTCTCTCTATTCTGTCTCTCCAGCTTCCCTTTGTTGTTTGTTGCCAATTTTCATATCTCAGGTATAGGAGGCACTGCGTCATTCCGATTGCATGTGTGTGGTGTTGAATCGACAAACAAAGCTTCAGTGAATAACCTCTCTCTCTATCTCTCCACCTAACTGTATTACTTTTTAATAATCTCGCCCTGTCCCAAACTGTATCGTGATTACATGCGAGTGAATGCAGGTGCAATGGCTGAGCTCTATTTTCTAGGTTATTTAACTTATCAGGATCAACCATTCTACGTCTAGCTAAATTTTATGCTCCAGTAATCTTGTTGACCCCGATCTGCTACTTCTAATGTAACAGCAGAAGACAAGGGTCAGGCAACAGATCGTTTACTATGGAAATCAACACATACTTATAGATTTTCATGTACATTACTATAGATTTTTGTTAGCAGAGAAACACTGTCTTCTGATTGGTTGTTTCTCACAGAAAGTTAACCTTGCATCTCTTTGTGGGTGTTTCTTGAATGTCAGATCATCTATATGTTAACTGTGTCTGCCCACGCAAAGTCTGCTGTGGTTGGTTGTGGAATCAGTTTTTGTTCTTATTTTTCTCACCACCAATACTGGGGACGTAAACACTGAATTAAATTACTGTCTACCGATTTGGCTAGCACCCAGTCCCCACCACACTATTACTACCGTATGAAGTAGGAATTTCAGAGGCCTTATGTAGGATTTTCACTTAGGCCGGAATTAGAGTGGCATTTAAACCAGCCAACCAACCAACCCACTCAGAGATAAATTTTGCCGGATTAAGGACCCTATAGATTTTATCATGTGCTGGCATTGCTTAGAGAACCATTGGAAAACTTGGAAGTACTGAACAGCTGTTTCGTCCTACTTTAAGACTCTTTATCAGTTCGAACGCAGGACCTTCCGATTACAAGGCGAGCTAGCTCGTAGACCAAGCGCCATGTGAAAACTGGGAGGTCAACTACGTAGGTCAAACTAGCAGTGGATCGGGATCAACTAGATTAATTGGGACACGTAATCCAGTTATTAACACTGCATCACTGTGTGATATTTAAAATTAAATTATCTAATATGGAATTTTATTCTACCACAGTGCCCACATTCTACACTTACATTATTCATGATGAACATTTTTAGTACATTAATTCATTATTACTGTAATGGACAGATTGTTTGAAAAATCTATCCTGGACGATCTGTTTATAACATTCACATTTATTAGACATTTCAACTAACTTTGTAGTTATAGTACCTTTTCCACCTACGGACTGTGTATCATTAACTTGACATTCACATATAACATGTTGATTATGCCCTTTATTATTTAACTTTGTCCTTATTTAATCTTCAATTGTAGTACTTATCTTTGTTGTTGTGTGTACATTCTCAATATGTTGTTTAACAAAATGAGTTTATTTAATTGAAGGAGGGTGATTTTGACCAGAGACTGTCTGAGGAAAGTGTCGGTGCGTGTGTGTGTGATTCTTGTGAACAGAGCTTTCCGTCCCACCCCGTCGGAGTATTTCTCCTCCTCGATTCTAAGGTACTTTTTACAGTTGAACTCTGGTTAACTAATTTTATCTTACAGTAGGCGTTTAGCATTTAGACACCTACAGTGCCTGTATAGGTGCCTCATGACACTGTTGTTAGATAAATTTGTGTATTGATTTAAATACTGTTGATGGGTGAGACCGGTAAAATATTGAAGAATAATGGTGTTTTCACTGCTTTTGGGAAGTTTTGTGACAGTGCGTGTCTGAAGAAAGTTTTTTGTCGGCCACACAGAAGAACGTGAGATAATAATGCAAAGTGACGAGCGGATCGTCCTAGGGTGACATGGAGGCAATCTTGTGGCGAGGAGGTGAGAGATTATGGGCATTCGCGGCAGAAAATGGAACAAAGTGGAGATGTGTTGTTGAAGCTATATGTTCCACTCGGAAACCCCGGAAACAATAATAATACAGTAGAATGTAGAGAACGGTTTTTCGCGTTCAGACCATAACCGAATAAATTTGGTCGGTACAACTAAAAAGTTTTGTTATCAGTGTTAGCTATATGATCATCGGAAGTTAACTAGTGGATAGTGACTAGCAGTGGAATCCAGGATACGCATTTTGTCCTATTTGGGACTCGTCATCTGGATGCACCTGGATTGCGGTGGGACGAAATGCGCATCATGGATTTCACTACTAGTCACCATCTACCAATTAATTCCTAATTTCATGCCCAGACATCGTCGAAGCATCTGCACAAGAAGCCGACATGTCAACCTGAGACCGAGCACTTTAGTCCGATTAATCGGTGGGAAAATCTAAAATTAAATCAAATATGATCATCATTTTAGCAGCCTGATCATTGTAGTAAACTTTGAGCTGATGTTGAGTATTTAGAGGTAATCATCAGGAAACACTGACCTTGATTTCTGTTGGTTGGCTCTTGAATGCAAGGCTTATCTATTAACACAGTAGGCCTAATGCTACTCTAGTCGACACATATCTTCTCTAAAATGCTTCAGAAACAGTAAAGCACATGATTTTAGACAGTTAACAGTGACTCCATAAGAAGTATAATGACTGAACGTCTTGTCGACACTAACTATCCTATCACAATAAACTCCTCCTTTAAAGGGATTTATAAACTGAAGATTAACCTGCCAAAGATAGTATACTTTCCCTCCTCCGCACTACTGAAGCTCTAGACATCCAAACAGAGAAAGTGAAGTTCTGTACACAAAAGAAAATTCCTCAGCAACTTCTATTATCATGGTAATAACTCTTCCGTTCCCACCAACCAATGTATTTTGCTGTTGTTCAGGTCTTTCTAATTCTTCTATTCCTTCAAACTGTTACAATATACTACATTTTCTCTTCTCTCTATAATCATCCTGACTACAAATCAGTCAGTAAAATTATTTATCTGATTCCCTAGTTTTAAAATCTTCATTCGGTTTCTCTTATATTTTGATTAGTAGAAGAAACTATGATTATGACACTTCATTTCTATACTTACTATCCTCTTTTGTGGGAAAAATATGCATAAGTACGAGTGTACAGCTAAAGAATATGAATTCATTGAAAAGAGTCTCTTCGCTGAACTACTTTCTTGGTTTTTTACCAATGCTTAATTAGTAGACCAACAGCGTTCAGCCTTGTGGTAAAGTTTCATAGTTGCAATAGTGCATAATAGATCGTATTTTTTTAAGAAAGCATGAAATCTCTCGAGGTTATAAAAAAAGTATCTGTCTCATAATTTGTGTTAGAAGGCGTAAGATGGCCATTCTTCCTAGTCAGTCAGTGATAAGTCTCAACTAACTGATACGTGTGTATTCTCTCTATAATACGTATTTGTTTTGTTCACATCATCATCATCCTTGTGCTTTCACCCAGTCGGATAAATACTTATTCATGCTGAAGTATTGTCTTGGTGAAAAGAGTGAGTGGATCAAGTTTCCAGAAACGTTGTAGTCATCACGATCATCATTAGTCGGATTTATATTGAATGAGTCACTGTATAATTGTAAATTACTCTTGTAAATTAAGCATCAAATATCATAGTGGTTATATAGCAAAAACAGTTATCTCACTAGACTGCAAGAACTTACTAGCATATATTATAGATTGCTTCATTGTCAATTAAGAACGAACAGTCAGTATGTTCTAAAGTTGAATGTGTAGTTAGTAAAGAGTTGTACGGTTCAACAACCGCTGAACTTATTCTTGGCGATGGATAGATTAGAAATTGAAACTTTGGCTTTTTACCATAGTCTACACTCATACGTTCAATCAGAAGTGAAGACAATCCTGAGCCGGTACCACCACCGAGTGAATTATAAAAGAAAAAGCCTTGTAAACTGTCACATGTATCAGCTAGTTTTCTAATACGATCCAATGTTAAGTCACACATTTCACGACCAGTACTATAATATCCTCTAGCATAATTATTGGCTGCATCTTCTTTACCAGTTATTATTTGATCAGGACCAAATAGTTGACGGTAATTACCTGTACGAACTTCATCTATGATTCAAAAATTAACGAAAACAACAACAAAAAAATAAACATGTTGTAGTAAGTCATTAGAAATCCGCTGTGGGTTATATTTGTTTATAATGATTGAAGGTCAAATCATAACTCTGAATGAATATGCATTAGTTCAATTTGCTATTCATCGAAGAGTCATAAGAAAAGGAGAAAACAGACGTTGTCATACTGTAATGGACTGCAATGTGTGGAGGAGACAGAGGTATAATAACTTAATAAAGATCTATGATGTTCAAATCTTTGAAAATGTTAAACATTCAATGCACTTGCCCTACTGCGCATGTGTGCGCATCGATGATGCCTCGACAGAATGCCTACCAACCATTCATGTGGTCAGGGGTTCGATCCTTGGCCGACGCACCTTACCATCGCCTAGTCAGTAGGAGATCCGATAAAGAAGGAACGTTGTGCGTGAGGCTAGCAACCCCACCCAGTAAAAATAGAACCCCTATTACAGAAACTTCAAAGCTCTAGCCTAAAACCCTATGTTTTACTCGGAACGGAAAAGAACCCACCGTCATGGTTTGAACCCAGGACCTTCTGGTTACAAGGCGAGCTAGCTCGTAGACCATTAAGCCACTGGGACCCGACTCAATGGTCAGTCAGCCCATGAGTTCTAACTTCTGCCAATTCACTACATAGCGCGACCCTTAGCCAACGTCTTCGGTGAGTATTTGTCCTCACACCCGACCTGCTGCACTCTACCGGTCACGACTTCCCACTGGAACCCCAGGTAACTACCTATCTGATAGGGCCAGTCGCCAGTGAGCATCTCATTGATATTCAGGTATTGGATTGTAAGGATTTGGTTGGTTGGTTACAGGATTTCATCATGAGTTGACATTGGTTAGAGAGCCATTGGAAAACCTGGGAGTACTGGACAGCTGTTTCGTCCTAGTCTACAATGGTCTACGAGCTCGCCTTGTAACCAGAAGGTCCTGGGTTCGAACCTCGGTGGGTACATGCTGCTGAAGAGTCTGAAACTAGGCTGATGAAACAGCTGTCCAGTACTCCCAGGTTTTCCAATGGTTCTCTAACCAATGTCAGCTCATGATGAAATCCTGTAACCAATCAACCAAATCCCTACAAACCAATACTTGAAGTTTTAGTACCTGTAAAACTTTAACCAGACAGCTTACTCCTACTTAGGTGGTTCAGACCAACGGTGAATTACTTACCAAACTGCTGAAATGTTTTAGACTGGCCAGCTTTAACTCTTTCTTAACCTAACCCTCTCTTAGTTGACATTGTTTGTTAAACAATATCATTGTTTGGCATATGAAGCATGTGCCTTAATCGCCTCTACTGAATATTCACAGTTTATTTAATTAACTTCTCTCACGTAAAATTCTGCATGTCATTTTGCTCCAGTAAGCTTAAGTTTAATCAAAACCTCCAGTCTATTTACATCTTGTATCCTCAGTAACTACGTATTACAACCATACTGTAAGATAGGACGACCTTGTGTGTAGTACAAACTGCACTCGATGGGTAGTCGAATATCAATCATGTTGGTGCAAAGAGGAATTAACTTGGAAATTGATAAATAAGCCGCGTATAAGCAAGTCGAGACTCTATTGGCAATTACTCACATAGGTATCATGCACTTTTTGAAGTATTCGGTACAACCAATCACTTTATTTCTACTCAGTCAAACTTATGATCTCACACCATCGTCAGACCGGGATTTCCAATAATTCAAATCTACCATCACTGACTCTTGCAATCAATACCTTAATGCTAGATCAAAAATGTAAAGACTTCTGACAAAACAACACAAAGAAGAACTTAAACTGTTGACGCATAACAACGATATAGTTTTAACACGCTCTAACAAGGGTGCAGGTGTTGTTATTATGGATCGTAAAGATTATATCGATAAAATGTCATGTCTACTTTCAGACAGCAGTAAATTCTCGAAATCGAACGAGAAAAACAAGACGGAATTAATTGAGAAACAACTTACCGATACTTTAAAGAGAATGAAGAACAATCATCTCATTCGTGAAGAATTATACGAAAAGATCAGACCAACAGGATCTCCAATACCAAGACTGTATGGTCTACCGAAAATACAAGAAGCTGACCTTCCACTTCGCCCTATCTTGGATATGTCTGGATCGCCCTATCATCCAGTAGCTGGGTGGTTAGCTGAAATCCTCGAACTTGTCAGGGGGCAACTATCTAATCATTCCATTCGGGACATCTTCCAATTTGTTGAATGTATACAGGATATAAATGCGTCGAATAAACATATGTTGTCTTTGGATGTAGAATCCTTATTTACGAACGTTCCACTGACAGAGACCATACGTTTTATATGTAAATATATTAAAGACAACAAACTGAATATAGGGATACCCACTACTGATCTTAAAGAACTACTTTTGAGATGTACATTGAATGTACAGTTTACTTTCAATGAAACAATCTACAGACAGAAGGATGGTATTGCGATGGGTTCTCCCTTGGGTCCTCTCCTTGCAGATTGTTTTATGTCCAGTCTAGAAAACGGTCAGTTGAAGCCTACAATCCAAAGCTTTCAAATGTACAAAAGGTATGTAGATGACACTTTTGTTATTTGTAATAGTGATTGTAACTTAGTATACTAAATGTATTTAATGGTTGCCATCCTGCGATAATATTAACACTCGAAATGGAGAAGGAATCTAGCAAGGCATATCTGAAGCCTTGAAGAGACTCACATCCCTTCTGAGAACGGAACCCATGTCACCCAGTGCTGAAGTCAGAGAGGTTACGATTGAGCCATTCGGGCTTGCTGTTAACTTCCTCTTGGAGTGTATTCGATGCTTTGATGGAACACTAATTAATTGATGTCACGTGTCTAGTTCTTTGTTTAGTGTACACAGAATTCAGTCGGCACCAAACAAAGAACTGGACACATGATACCAGTTAATTAGTGTCCATTCAATGTAGACTAAACACGTTTATGTAAAAATGGCATTAAATAATAAATTAACGAGAAGGCATCACTCAAAATCGACAAGTTTACTTACCCCCAACAGTCGGTTCTAAGTCTACAAAAATTGATCTCGGTATATATTTATTTTTAGAAGCTTCAGAAAAGAATGTTGTATATAATTCATCCGCTGGTGGGTGTTTCATTAAGCCATCAGGTTTAACACCATGCTCTAAGCAAAATAATTCCCAACATGCATTTCCTAATTGTATTCCACATTGTCCTACATGAATCGATATAATCTCATGCTGTAATGTAATTTCATTTCAACGGTTACATCATAAAGCTTACCATATTTATTATTATTATCTTTCTTTATCATAAATATTAATGAAATCACTTCGAGTTAAATTAGCTACTTTCCACTGACTAACATATATTAAATAAATGTAAAGACATAGTTGTCAGAGGCCCATCACCTGATTGGTCGATTGCCTATCGATTATTCTGTTCAATTCTAATTCATCTGTGTAAAGTATTCGAGTTAAAGATACACGATTTGCACAAAAAGTTGTTCTCAATCATTTGAGATTATTATTATCATGATTATTTAAAAGATATTTCCTGGGAGATATTAAAATACTTCTCTGGAAAAATATGACAAAGATTACAGTTTACTTCTCTAAGCACATCTGAGAGCCCATAAAGTAGAAGAATAAACTCAGGAGACATGAAGTTTAGTGGATGCTTTGACGCAGTGCTGATTGGACTCACCCAGTCATCATATCATATTCCTTCATGTTCCCAGTGGAACATAGGGGGCTTCAAGCTAGAGCTTTAAAGTCTCGGTAGAAGTGGTGTTTATTTTTTCGGGGTGGAGTTGCTAGCCTCGTGCCTACCCCTACGTCTTTACCAGCCTTATCACTGATTTAGTGCAGTAAGACAGTACGTCGGCCGGACCACAAGCTTGGGTGACAAGCGTTCTACCGCTGTGCCACCAATGCACAACTCATCCAGTACTTCTACATTTCTACACAAAGCGAATGTTTTATCCTCGAATGACTTCCTTAAGACGGACAACGTGTTTGTTAGCAGCGAAATTATGATTTACACCTGTGGTGATATGATAACCTGACTGGATAGTTTTTTGACTCGTCTATTTATTATTTTTATTTGGATTATAGCTTGATTCCACACCGTATTTTTGGTACAGATATGAAATTTTTAGCATGTGATATAGGTAGCCCAAATTTTGCATGCCAACGATTCATTTCAGATGTACGTCGGCAGGGGATTGAACCCCGGAACCATGTGAGTGGTCGGCGACAGTCCTAATCGCCATGCTACCGATACACAATGCCTTAATTCCTTAAGTTTTGCAGACATGACATACCACGTAATTATCTAATAAGCGTTGTTGGGTGATCGTGGTTGAATCTGACTTTTGTATTTACTTCAGTGTTGGGGGTGTTTCAAGTGGTCAGCTGCCTATAATGTCAAGTCTGGAGGCATATTCTAGCCAGGTTAAACGAGCGCATTGCAACGGAATGATTGTTTAGGAAATCCTTCCTGAACGATATAGGCACAATATTCATACATATTTGGATGTTTCAACTAACTTTGGAGTTATTATACGTCCCCCCCCGTAGACTGTATATCACTGTTCTGACATTTGCATATCATGTACTTGTGGTGAGAGCTGGCTGTCAGTCAAAATTGGTGGACAGTAATTTACGTCAGTGTTTGTGTCCCCAATATTGGTCGTGAGAAAAGTGAGAACAAAGACTTTGCGTGGGTAGATACAGTTAACATATAGATGATCTGACATTCAAGAAACACCCACAAAGAGATGCAAGGTTAACTTTCTGTGAGAAACAACCAATCAGAAGACAGTGTTTTTCCGCTAACAATAATCTATAATATGTACATGGAAATCTATAAATATGTGTCGATTTCCATAATAAACGATCTGTTGCCTGGCCCTTGTCTTCTGTTGTTACATACTGACTTAGTCCTTATTATTTGACTTTTTCCTTGTTTAGTCTCTAATTTCAATACTTCTTTTTGTAGTTGCGCCATACATTGATGGGTTATATCACGATGTGAATTTGTTAGTGTGAATCAAGGTCATCTTGACCTTTAACTGTCTGTGAGAAGCTTTGGTGTATGATCCTTGTAGTTGGAGTTTTTAATTCCACTTTTTTGGCAATATTCTACTTGATTCTAAAGTGCACTTCATACAGGGTAATTTCGGTTAACTAATTTTGTTCTAAAGTAGTCGTTTTGTACTTGGAAATTTTTCTTGTCTGTAGCATGGCTGCTTAACGACACTGTAAAAGGTAGTTTTGAATTTTTGATATTATTAATGCTTTTGAACAGAACCACACGGTATTTAGAGCATTTTGTGGCTATTTGTGTCTCAAGGAAGTTTTGTCAGCTCCGCAATAGGACACAGAGATCGGTTTCCCGCGTTCAGACCACAATGAGTTGGTTTTGGTCGTTACAGGCATAGCTAAAGTAAAACTCCGTCATAACAGACTCACATACTTACATTCTTATCTAATCGCTGTTTTCAGTCCATTTCGTTGTTACTACTTTTTCTGATGCCATTCTCATCTGTATCCAGTTGTGTTTAAGTGAAATTTGACGATCCGGATCGACTTTTTCATCTGGTGTTTTACTTTGCTGTTAATTAAGTAATCTGAATTAAGCACATTAGTGGTTGAACTTAAGTTACTACTGCCAGGTAATCTCGTATAGGTTATGATTTTTCAAGTAGATGTCAAGGCGCACATTCGTCTAATTTGAAGTATTTTCCATACAGAGAATTATGCCTTTTTACCCTTATTTTATTTTGCAGGCTGATAGTGGACCAAATAGCTTAGTGGTAAAGTCACCACCTGAGAAATTAGGTGAAATAGGTTCGAATTACAGTGAAACAGTAACTTCTGTCAGAGTTGAAGATACATCTAGTTTCCTGATGCATGATTCTCGTTCACAAACTTCTAAGGAATCATACTTTGATAACTATTTGGTAATAAGGGATTTTTCTAGAGGTATTTCACCTCTTATGATAAAAATAGTACAACTTGGAAACTCTTTGTTGGGTATATCTTAGGCATAATACAATTTTAATACGTAATGTAAATAAGCTTGTAACCCACAATTATCATCATACATTAGCCATTCGATGCATACAGCAAGTTTTTAAAGTGGGTGAAGAAAGAGTGAAACGATAGAGGTTCAGTTAATGTCATGTGTCCATCACCTTTGGAATCATCTGCTTGCAATGCTGAAGAGTTCCATTCCAGGACAAAACAGCTCTCCAGTGCTTCATGGTATCCACTGGTTCACTAACTAACATCAGTTCACACTGAAACCTAACTTAATACTCTATTCTGCTAGAACATGCGACATACCACAAAAATCCCCTTTTTATTTATTTTCCTAATAAATTTCATCTAAAACCCTGAAGTGGTTATGAAATCGGTGGACGTCTGAACACACTTCCTCGTGTACGTAGTGATGAACAGGCAGTTGAATTCAGGCAAGCAGCTGTTTTTACTTATTTAACAGGTAAAAGCCTGTCAATCGTCAAACAGAATGGTTTCTGTATTGATTTTGAAAGCTCTTTTAACAAAATTCAAAGCTCAGTAAGTAATAAAACTTTGATAATGTCCATTATGCTCAAGGCCTTCTCTTATTTTTCCCCTTTAGAAGAGATAGCACAGAAGTTTAAAATGTTAAATGTTGAAAATAAATTTACTTAGAATAATGATAAATTGATTTTCCACAGTTTGAAGTGAGCAATTTAATTTTCATGTCAAATGTGAAGACACATAGTGAGATGCAGATACTATGAGCTTGTGAAACACACATCCTGGTTTCCAGCAATGGCCCCCACCAAACACTTTACATCATATCAGAAGTCAAGGATATACTGCGCCAAAATAGTACCAGTTGATTCTGTATGGAAGGATCAGTAGAGGACTACAATTATAAATAAATAATACTGGATCATATGATTCAAGACACAGTTTCATCTCGAGGCTAATAGGTTAGGTGAATGACTCTTAGTCGTTTGAGATCATAACTTCGAGACATCGTTATCCACCATAAATCAGCGGGAATAAAACCACTGTTAGCCGTCACGTGACATTTTAATGCTCACAGGGAATGTTTCTATCATATAGTGAACTGGAAGAAGTTTGAAATCACGGGATGATAAGTTTAAACTTTAAACTTTAGAATTAACAGCCCGTTTTGGCCATCCCATGCAAAGTTGTGAACATATAATGCTGAGGAGTGCATAGCCAGAATAAAACACCATTTATTGCTTTCCAATTAACGTTAAATCATGACATGACTTTAAGCGTTAATCTCTAATACTTTCTCCAAGTATCTTATTTAGGTGGAACTGTTAAAATGTAGAATTGACACTCAGCTAGTTTACTATATAAGGATAAAACTTAGACACTGTGGTAGATTTTAACTCCATTATGGATAAAATTTTATTTTGATAAATTATTTGATAAATATTTACTGGTGACGTTTCGAGCACAAATTATTGCCACTCATGATCATATCAAGGCGCTCACTAGTTTTACTAGTTGTAAAGTGACCATATGTATACATATATAATTATTATTGTTTATTTTAGTTTCTAGAGGAACAAAGGGCTTCAGTCGTGCTATTTGCCTTCAGTTTTCTGCCAGCTTTTTCACCCAGCTCCAAGTCTGTTCACATGCTTTTATCTCCTCTTCACATCACCTCCTCCAAGTCACCCTCGCACTGACGACCAACTACCCGCTCCCCTTTCGGGTTCCACTCGAGCAATGACTTGTTTAGTGATGTCACTTGGTGGTTTCCTCAGAGTATGACCAACCAATCCATCTCCATTTCTTCCTGGCTATTTGTTTCACAATCGGTTCCTGCTGTGTTGGTTCTCTCACTGCCAGAGATTCCTATTGCTGATCTTTTCTGACCGGTCATCTGATCTTGAGTATTGAGCGAAGACAGCTGTTGATGAAGGTCTGTAGTTTGTTTGAGATGATCTTTCTAATGCGCCAAGTCTGTGATCCATATAGTGAGTAGCACTGACTGACTTCACATTGGAGTTGAAAATCCGGATTTTATTTTTGATGCTGAGTGCTGCTGACCTCCACACAGACTTGAGAGTAATGAGAGCTTGTCCTGCTTTTCCGATCCTTGCTTTAATATATATATATATATATATATAGTGATATATCAATTCCTCCATAATTTAACTTAGTGGTTCGTGTCCTATTTCCCCATGATTTTTTAAAGTATCTGTTGATCTCATTTCGACCATCGTCATCATATCGATAGCGAGT